CACACCTTGCTCTTTCTCATATCGGTGATAAAATAACTTACGGCCTTATTTGCTGTTTACCTTAGGCGTGGTTACAAAGTACAGAATTTTTTTTGTGCTACCTGACCTTCCCACAGCAGCTGGTTTTTTCCTCAGAAGAAAGTTACTTGCTCCACCCAGCTTCCACACAGTCTTACATTTTTTTTTGTACATCGGGAAGTACCTTGCTGTACCTGAACTCACCCATTTCTTGCACCAGGACTTCCAACATGTTTTCTGTTTCCTACTGGATCTCCAAGAGTATTCCAGCATGAGTCTTCATCCTCCCTACACCACCTCCTTTTTTTAACGTATGAAAATTCCTATTTTCTCCTACTTAATCATCATATGATCTTTTATAGAAACCAGTCATCCTCATTAGACCTGGTAAATTGTCACCACGCATTACAGCCAGTCCACCTGTGGTCAGTGTGACTGCTTCACCCTTCAACAGTTTAAGCTCATCTATAATGCTTTGGAAGGTATTTGAGTTTTGTAATACACTTGCCAAGATTCTTCTTTGCAAAGTACTTATCTATCCCAACTAGCTGCTAGACATCTGGCATTTTTCCCTCCTTCATGTCCAATTATCAGTTAGTCAAACTGCATTATGTGAGGAAACAGCAACCTAATTGCAGAGAGGTATTGCTGAGCTACATTTTACTACTTCCTATTGTTCTATTATCAAATTTTTAACCAATTTCATTTTCACTCACACAACTGGTTCTCTGTCAAATATTTAAAGTGTCATGAGCCAGCACTTCTGTCCAATGTAGCCGCTTTCTGTCTCATTGAGAACACAAGCAGATTTGAAAATACTAGTATACCTGGAGGCTATGTAATAACATTATGTAATTCGAAGACACGGAAGGTATTTTGTGACGAAGAGAGGGTGAGGTGCTGAGTTTGTCGAGGTGTCCCATGTAAGATTTTAATTAGGCCTATGTGGTATAGCAGCTACTTGTCTTTATGGAGGTTGGGCCTTGCTCATCTATGCCAGGTAATATGCAGCAGCTGCTACCACCTACAGACAGGAGTTCATTCAACTCAGATCAATTATGATCAATTCAGAGGGAGAGGCGGTCCTCCCCATAGCAGGGAAAGGTTCAGAGCCAACATTTCATAGGAAGGAACTGAAAGCTAAGTTAACAGAGCTAAAAGACTCTTCTGCTTCATATCACTCGGAGAAGTTAAAAGTTCATCACCGGTGTCCCTGTTTGAGCTGCTGAGGTCCTTGAGCAGCCAATGTGGAAAAGCACTACAGGCAGGTATTTTCCTGATCTTAACCTCCCAAAAGGACTCTCGAGACAGCACGCATCACCTCCCTCATTTTCCTACTGTAGCTAAAGCATGGAATAAGTAAAGCTTATTTGCCATAGGCCCTGGCAACATATAGCTCAACTGTACCACTGCTGCAGGAAAATTAAAACTGTCCCTGCAGCCGTGCTCAGCTAAATGCACAGCGCCACACACCACCGCGGGTCCTGACGGAGGCCAGACCCCTCACCCCCAGCCAGGCTGCTGCTCCCCACCACAACCTTCCTGCGTTATTGTGAAGCCGGTCGCTACCTCACCACGATCTGACAGCCGCCCGGGAGGCTCCGCGGGGACGCCCAG